ACACACACACACACACACACACACACACACACACACAGAGTGGTGGAGCTTGGCTTAAAGTTCAGGTGTTCCTGTACCCTGCCCGGCAGTATCGCTAACCAGGGGAATTTGATTAGATAGTTGAAGGCTGATATTACCTTTGCTCTCTCACCACAACTGAAATCGTTCTTAGCTTTTAGGTGGACCCCACTGTCTACCTTGGTGAGGCGTTTTCAAGAGCATAGAATCATCTTTTTCATTATCAAAAGAAGATGCTGTTTAATTTGAGGATCCTGTTGAACAATGCAGCTCTTAGAAATGGTCACAGTTTCGTGGTTCGAAATTTTCGGTAAGTGATGGCCAGAGATTTGAGTCTGACTTAGGAACCATAGTGATAACTGAAGTTCTATTCTGAAAAGGAGTGCAGCCTGAAAAGGCGTCTTTCTGCAGGGTGTAGTGCTGGGTTCAACCCTTATTTGAGACAGCTGTCTCTAATTCCAGCTGAGCTTTCATTTCTCAGTCCTCTGTAATCGGATTTCATAGCAGGCTGTTTGTGGGGTGGGTGGGGGGGGGACGTTAACCTCGGCAGGTAAAACAGACTAAATGTTCTGGACATCTTCCATTTGTGTACATTTTAAGCAGGCTACTGGCTGAAGAAAATTAGAACTAATTTACACAGGGCCTTCAGTTTGTATTTGGGTTTGCTGGAAAATTATCATTCTAGGGAGTGTGGATTAATCAGTTCTTTATAAAATAAAAAAACCAGACTCCAAATAACAATTGGATAAATATTTACAAAGCTGCTGCAAAGGAGCCTTAGGTGTGATGAGGATAATGATATTTTTTAAAATGAAATCCATATTTGAAATCTATCCCTGAAATTCTTGGTAGCATATGAATGGAGGCTGTTTCCAGTGAATTCATTATAAAAGCGACATCCTGTTACAGCCACTACACTGAACGTGCAGTGGAAGGTGGCGTGGAGTGTGTCTGTGGGGAAGGGGACAGGGATCATAAGTTAACCAAGGTAGGAAGGCCATGAAATGTGCACATCGTTGCTAGAAAGCTTCTGGAGTAATGGCACGTTAACAATCACATAGAATTTTCCCAGAGACTCTTTACAACCAACCTCAGAACAACTTCACTGACTTCCTAAAGGGAGAAGCTTCTAGTCTGGAAGTTCTCTCCCACTGTTAGGAAGCAGACCTGTGACAGTGGCCCTGAGTACCTCCTCTGGGGCCACCTGGCAGCTTTGTGTTCTTTGGACTCTACCACGAGCACCATTTCTTCAGTGAAGAGAAGACTCTCGGAAGCCAGATGACATTGTAAATGATACTGTAAATTAAGCCTGTAGTATTAGACCTAGATGGGACCGCAGAGCCACAGAATATTAGCCTTCTCTTATTTTACAGATAAGGTCAGTGAGGCCCAGACAGATTATGGCATTTACTGATTAGTACTAGAGTTAGATCACATAACCTAAAGATGTGGAGGAAAGCTCAGGTTTTGGAGTCTAAACTAGATTCAAAGCCTGGCACCACCACTTGCTGGCTATATTGACCTTGAGCAAGTCACTAAAATTTTCTGTAATGTTGCTTCACCTATAAAATGGGAAAAAGAGTAATATCTGCTCTGCTTACATCACAAGGTCGTTCAACAATTCATTTAATAAATACTTACTGAGCACCTACTTTGTGCCACACTCTCTGCAAGGTTTGGGGATACAGTGGCAAAGAAGGTAAGGAAGGTCCTTCATACCAGACACATGAAGTCATAGTCTACTGATAATCAGTGAGATAATATGTGTGCAAACTGTAAAGTGACAGACGAATGTTCATTATTTTATTATTCCATCCCACTGAGGTACATCAGATAAAAGTATGACGAAATTTTATTCCCGAGTTTTTAACAAAGAATCATCACTGAGCTGAAAATAATCAACTGAATGAATAACCAAAGCTTGGAGCTTAAACTTATACTCTTCTTTGAAAATTACAGTGATGATTGATTTTTAAAATAAGGACGACAAGTTCAATTTTTGCAAGTAAAACCCCTTCCAAATATTTGGGCTTCTTTGGTATTTACTAATATTCTATCGTCTCTATGCAATAGCCAGACTGTAATTCACAGAGTCTTGGCTAGCCATCTCTCACAGTGAATGGGGGCTGAGGCAAAAGCATGGCGAAATCAGCCTGAATCTATACCTGCTGTTTGAAAATATGAAAGCCTCGAATCACCCATGTCATTAGAAACTTAAGAGCATAAGCCTCTTGTGAAAATGGGATAATGTTGAAATGGTATCGTTCTCATGTGGCATGGGTATTTTTTCCCAACTATTTTAGTTAGCTATGCTACCTGCCAGCGAGATGAACTCAGAATTGCTGATCTCCAGTAAGACCTCTGGCTTTTGATGACCTCTCAGCAACAGAGAAAAGCTCCTTGTCAACTCTGCCTGTATTGTACTTTTACTTTGATTTTCAGCCTTCCACCGAGATTCGAGCTCTTTAGTTCCTCCATATCCCTTGGGAAAGGTGGAGAGACCTTGCTACAGAATGTACCACATGATCTTAACACTAGAGCATAATAAGAAATGCCACAAAATAGGGACTGCCCAGTTTTGAAGTGAGCAGCCATATTGCCATGGACAGGATAAAAATAACAGCTTAAGTGAGGCTGAAGCCATTCAGGCAGGCTCCCAAATCAATCATTTTTAGTCAATTATTATTTCTTTTTTTCTCCAAAATCAATAGGCTCAGACACCAAGACTGCCGAAAACACCCAATCCATAGGCTTTTCATCTCACAAACAAGGCTCTAGAGCCTGGCGGTGTTTGGATAATAGACAGTGTCCCATGATTTGTTGCCTATTAGGGAAACCACTTATAGCTTTTAAAGAAACCACTAAAAAAATCTCTTTCTTTATCAGAGAAGACCAATTTGTAAGTGCAGTTCAATTTCATCTCACAAATAGAAATTTCTTCAGAGAATATTGAGCTAAGCCACCCAATTTTGTGGAGGTTATGGATTGGGGTGGAGGTGACTCGTTTTCAGGTATTTCATTCCAGACCTCTCTTAAGGGCTTACATAACTCATTATGCTCCCTTCATCCCACACACATACTATCTCTATGCACGTGGACACATGGATGAAGCAATTACAGGCCATCCATGCTCTTGCCTAGAGGAGAGAAAATAATCCTCTTTGATTATTCACATCTTCTGTCATAGCTGAAAATGAATGCCTTTTTAAAAACATATTTCCTGACTTCAGAAAACTAGACAAGGTCTGAGATCAGGCATGGAACCGGGTTATGATGTTTCCCTTGGCCAACAGTAAAATTTGAGTCTATTTCTAGTTTGTTATTTTTAGTAATTTAGTGATTTAACTGAGATAGAAGAAGTAGAGGCAGATACAGATTTTCAACAGTTTCGGGGTTCCAGCCCTTTAATGTATCTGTACAAATCTAACCCTCTTCAATTTTCAGATGATGGGAAGTCGTGCCAGTTTAGAAGGTTGACGATCTCAGGTTTCTTAGAAACCACCTGTCACCCAGTTAAAACAGTGACTTAGACCACATAAGAGCATGAGGCAACAGTGAGAAAGGTTGCAGGTCAATTTTTAGTAATAGACTATTGTTATTGTTGTTAATGAAGTAAAGAAATTTGGAGATAATTAGTGCTTTATTTTTTCAAATCAGTATAGGATGAGATTCAAGGGTTTTGTGAAAATAAAGTCACTCTCCCTTGCATGCATTGCAGTATGACTTCTTGAGATGGCAAGAAAGGGATGAAATTAAAGGCGGGTCACTGAGAATTCAGATGGCTCCAGTATGACCCATGGGAAGTCTTGTGTTTATAAACTTCATGGATGTTGTGGAAGACGAAGACAAGATGGATCACTGATTTTGAGTTGATTTTCTTAATTTTTCAGATGAGGAATTGAGGCCAAAGATAGAAAATGATCTTCCCAAGGTCACAGTTGAACTAGGACTAGAATTGGAATAATTAAAACCACTGCTCTTTTTTTTCCGCTGCTTTGATTACTTTGATCTTTTCAAACTGATCAAGTTGGTCATTCTACCCTTGCACAATCTCCTTTTTAAAAATACAGCCAAAATATCTCAGTAAAGGAAAAAAAAAAACACCAAGAAAATATGCTTTAATGGTTGCATCAATCTGCAACATTAAAGAAAGACAAAAATCTCAGCCATAAGGCCCACTGTCTCCCTCTTATGCCTCCAGAAGATAAAGTCTTCATCTCAAATTTTCCATGGGGATCAAAATACCATTTAACACTGAATTTTTTCCTATTCTGGCAAAGTCTGTTTCTGACTGACCACGTTTTACTCGAATCAAGCACTTTCTCTTCCAACAAAATACAATTATACAAGGGAACACATCCAGATCTCCTTCCGTGCTCCAAACAATTTACCAGAGTTGGAAAACACAGACTCTTGCAATGAAAGGTTTTATTCTGCCAATACAGAATATGCTTCCATTTTCTAGCTAGGAAGATATTTGGGTGAAGCTAACACAAAGGTCTACTATTACCTTGGCTTAACTTCTTAGCGTTCAGTGATTTGGGGTTGAGAAATCTATGTAATTATTTTTTCAAGGGATAAAATTATGTAAGGAACTAGTCTTGCTTTTTTCAAAAGCTCTGGCTTTAGCCAGACTGCAATGACAGTTTTGACAGAAAATCTGCACATGGTTCTCATTGTTTTCTCCAATATTGTATCCTCCCTATTGTGTGTTGGCTGAAAAATGATAATGTGGTTTAGGTCTGGTTTACCAAGGAGACACACTGAAGTATAAGAAAACCAAGTATTTTATGGGAGCACTAAAATAGTAATTCTGGCCCTGGTTCAGGTGCTCCAGAACCAGAGTAGGCTGCTTCCAACTGAGGCATGGGGTCTCTATAAGAACTTAGAAGCCATTTATGCCAGTGGCTTTAGCTGGCTGATTTGAGTTATCGATTTATCACCAGAAAGCAAGAAATGCTTGATACAGACCAGAAAAAAAGGGGGCCTGTGGCAGAGGCATTTCAACATGGTACAATTGTGGAACTCTTCTACTTTTCTCGAATTTTTAAATAGCTTAGGAAAGAGGTGTGGCAGCTCCATTTCAGAGCCAAGAGGAGGTCTATGAGGAGACAGTAAACAGGATAGGAACTTAAACTTGAACCATTGTGTTTGCTTTCCTTCCAGTGATAAATTTTCCTGGTTAGTTCTTGATATCTATGAAAAACAGTTATTTTTCCTATGCAAACATTTCCTGCCCCACCTCCTGAATAGAATCGAGAAAGGTGGTGACTCCTCTAATGATTTTTCAATGGTATGACTCCCCTTCAC